TACTACAAATCTTACAAAAATCATGTGACAATTATACATATAGAACATAAAATTGCAGTTAGAAAAATAATTATAATACATGAATACTGTTAACATTTTTTTAATAATTTCTTCATTTATCAGTATTTTAACAAGTCCTAAAATATTAAAAACTCTAGTATTTTACTGTTTGCGGTCGCATTACAGGCATCTCTAATCGATAATGTTGTTTTAGCTTCGTGATACAAGGTCTCAGTTATTTTAAAAAGTCATTATTATGTATGACAAAGTTATATGTACTTCAGAATTGCATACTTCGTGTAAAAAATTTCGTTTTTACCAATCGATTAATCATATTTATCACTGGACTGCAATGACATACATATTGACAAAAAGTTGCAAAATTTAAAGTAAATCGTATGCAAAAACTTGAAACCTTTCAATACGTACAGTATGAACAAAATTTTAATTTTAATCTTTTGCTGTTAAAAGATTAAATTAAGAAAAAATTAAGATTTATAAGGGATAAATATTTATTTAAGAAATTTTTTCTGATATTTTTCAAATTAAAAGAGAAACATATATATATATATATTTTTTTTTTTTCTTTTCACATAATTTACATATTATATAAAAATATTATTTACAAAGAATATATTTATTATGATATAAAATAATATGAGTATTAAATATACAAACGTAGAACTTATAAATCTAAAGAATTAGCTTAGAATAATTGCAAATGTAAATAGCTCGTTTTGAATTATTATTCATTAAAACTTCGGTGCATTTCTAACTTGAAATGAATTATTCAATTCAATTATTCGAAAAACAGTGTTATGATCGCGTAGCAAATTGCATCTTTACTCTCAAAAACTCGAAAGTAAGAATAGCTCATAATCATTATTGTTACGACACGATCTAAGAACAATACAAAATAAAATGCGAACGATTAAATCTAATTTTCATAAGAATTAAATTTCATGAGAATTAAATGTATAGAAATTACTACAAATGTGTGACACTTACACATGTAAAATATAAATCACAATTCAAAGAATAATTTCTTTCACATGAATACTGTTAACAATTTCTTTATAATTTCGTGAATTTACGTCAAGTGAATTACGTCAAATGAATCATTGAGCGAGACAACCTAATCGGTTAATCAAATGATGACGTCTGACACGATAACGGAAATTCGACATTCGTTGAATAGGAAATCCGTAAACGAACGCACAAACAGATCGTATCTAAAGCCAGATTCCGCGCGTGTTGTTACGCCCACACTTTAAGTTGCGACGACCGAGACGAATTACGTAAGATGCTGGCGAGATTCGCTCTTACTCATTCACCGGGTTGCAAACGCACGCACGTCAATTCGTGATTCACCATTTAATCCGGCGGAAGCTTTCCTTAATCGAGAGGGCGACATACATATTGAAAAAGTGTCGTCGCCTTTTTCCACAAATATTGTAGTGAACTGCGCTAATAATTAGATAACTTAATGAATAAAAGCACATAAAAATACCAGGATATGATCTTATGTGAAATCTAGGATAATATTTATTTAATTGAAAATATAATTATAACTCAGATTTTCTATAAAAAAATCTATATGCTAACATAACGTAAGCGAAGCTGGAAGATGGCTGGAATAAATAGTTCCGGATGTTACACCAAAGAAACTGTCTCTGGGATAATAAACGGAAATACTAAGTTTAAACAACATTTCACTTTGCCCTGCGATTCTTCTTTCTCGTTTTTCGTCAGATTCTGAAAGATTTATAATTTTATGTGAGTTTTTTCGAAAAAATTCCATTCTTCAAAGCAAACAACTTTGATTGAAAATAATCGCAAGCAAAGACATGTACCAGAATCGAAGACGTTGATTCTAGTTTCGGAAATTCTATCTTAAAATAGTTTTCGCGCGCGTAAAAATTATAAAATCTGACGAAAAATGAAGAGAAAAAGATCGCAGGGCAAAGTAAAGCGCTATGTATGTTTAAACTTGGCGTTGGCGTTTATCTTGAGGCATTTTTTTTGATGTAACAGAATCACGTGCTTAAACTATCAAGAATTATAAAACTATTGAAAACAAAGCCTGAACTTTTGATCATTTATGGATTTCTACGAAACGATACGCCAACTTTACGGAAGAAAAATAGTGAAAGGAAAGTTTATAATGACAACAATAATAAAAATTATCACAGGCATGTAAAATAATTATGAAAATAAACATGTTATAAATACATAATAATAATAATAATTAATATATAACAATTTCCGATTTTATGATTTTGCAATTTAAGAATAATTTGTTATGTAAGAGTATTTATTGAATATAACGATTTTAATAATTTAAATTTTTAATAATTTAAATTTTTAATAATTTAAATTTTTAATAATTTAAATTTTTGTGGATATTATTATTGTCATGCTTTAATATACTATTAAGTGATTTTGTTTATATTCAATGCTGTTATCATTTATGAGCAAAAAAAGGGAAGATATTAATTGTATCATTATGTAATTACTAGATATTTATGAGTTCTATTCTTATCTACATTCTACATTTTAATATAGTGCATCGCTAAAAATAAAAAAATCAATTATTTCATGTTCATGAAAAGAAGAATTTTTGTGTTATGCATTTTTACAAAATATAATTATAGCAATAAAATGATAAAACAATGGTGATAATAATAATTAAAGTACTATATTTAAAATACAGTAATTTAGCAGTAGTACTATGTTTAAAATGCAGTAAGCATAGTCTATTATTATATATTTTATTTTCCAAAAAATTTAAACATTTATATTTTTTTACATTATTTTTTAATTTAATTACAATAACTTTAATTTAATTACAATAAATACTTTAATTTTTAATTATAAAATAGTACGTGTTATATTAATACTTTAAAAAATTTTTCACGCTATTGTAATTTTTTTTAATACGAAATATACACACATACACTGGTTTGTCGAATATGATATAGTGTAGGGTCGCATTTTGTAAAGAAAAGGTTGTACATGCTCTCGGCGTTTTCCGATATTCAACGATAAAGAGAGTTCGGAAAACGCAAATGGAAACTAGGTCGTACTGACATGCAACTTATCTTTTCTCTCCATTGTGACACGTATCCTTTTCTGTACACACATTTAGCATTCTCCCGTATTTAATGTTTCGTAATAGATTACCACAGTATCGGAATTCGCCATTCAAAACTCTTTTTTTTATAGTCAGAAACAACAGCTACAGTACATCTACTTTTATACACGAGTTAATCTATTTGTCACACTTTTGATGTTACATAACGCGATGGAGAATGTTGCGAAATGATTATGTAAAATTTGTAAATCTAAAAAAAATTGGATGTGCAATAAATGTAGCATTTGATGATGCAATAAAAAGAAGTAAAATTTTAGTTTACAATTTAAAATAAAACTCGAACGTTTATATAACGGAAAATAAAAAACTTGTACGTATATAACAGAAATATCGCAGAATATTATTTTAACTTGTAGTACGAAAACTATTTCTATCGAAAAATCTCTGAAACAAATTTTGTTACTATTTTTTTAACTTTTTATTATTATATTTTTATAAATAATATTGTACTAATATATAAAATATTTTGCAAATATATTTGACAATTTACTTTCTCATATTTATCGGAAATGTTAGAAACTTATGGGAACGAGATTTTCGTTGAAAGATAAACTGTCAAAAAGTAGGATGTAACGTTTACGTATAAATGCTTTTCTCTTCTTCTAATAATACCTTTTCTTCAAAAATTATAACTTTTTCAATTTAAGTTAAATTGAGCTAAATGGATGGTCCAGATTAGATTCTGACCTAATTCGTTCAAGCTGAGTTTAGAACTCATCAAAATCATCAGATATCAGAATTAATTAATCAGAATTAAGATCAGAGTTAAATTATCAATAAAGGCATTATAGCGCATATACATACAAATATTATAGAGACGATGTTTATTAGATTTTAAATATAATCATGTCATAATCTTAAGAAGTTCACGTTCATCAAAAAATTCTCTCTCAGACTTATATGTATTATACTTACAATTAGATTGCAAACACACACGTTTCATGTGATGTGAAATAAAAGCAATCATTTATAATTGGACAAAATATCATATCATAGAATCTGATTATAATTATGTCATGTCACTTGATAAAATCAATATATAAAAAATAAGACGATACTAAAACACTTTAAAGTAAAAATGAAGCAAAAAATAATAATTTAAATGAAATATCGATCATACTTATCATCACAAATTCTAAATTTCTGGAACACATAAATAATTCGAATTTAATTTCTTTTTTATTCTCTGTATATAAAATATATTAAAAACAATAATATCAAAAAAAGAGGAACAAACTCTCATTTATATATTAATTTGAAATACGTTTTAAATGAAAACGTATTTTTTGACATAAAAATTATTTTGCAAGTAAAACGAAAATGTACATTAGACCAAACATTATTCAGTACATAAAATTGCAAAAATAATGATCACTTAAAAAGGTCATATAAGATACAACTTATAACATCAATTGTAACAATAATGTATAAAAATGTAAAACATTTTTCTCATAATTTTTTAAGACGTGAAATCTTATTACTTTTCTTGTGAAAAAAACATTTTAACTGAACAAATTTTGTTTGTACAAAAATAAAGAATAAAGAAATGTTAAAAATGTTTTATAATAATAATATATATATATATATATATATATATATTTCTTAAATAATAATTGTTTGTCAATTAATAATACTTTAATAATACTTTTTTTATAATATTTTTTATTAATAATTTTATATAATTCTATATAATAATACTTTTAATTATATAATAATACTTTTTTGCATGAAAATAGCTTATATTTTAATAACTGCCGATAACTTGAAGTACAATACAGTGTATATTAATGATGTATATTAATAACTGAACTTATATACATATATATTCTGCTCAATTGAAAATGGCTTCCTTCATCTGTAACGTCGCTTGTCGGCTAGATATAATATATAGAAGTCTGTAGTCGAGATTACATGGGGAATACATGGCATTCGCGCATATTTCAGATAATAATTGACAGCGAGTGCTCTAGCGCAATTTATGTACCGCGAGTCGACAGCAGCAGATGATAATACGATCCTTTACCTGATTGCATGTAGCAAGAACCTCGTTGGCGAATGACATTTGCTCCCGTACACGTGATTCCTTCATGTAAATCCGTTGTATAACTTATCAACTACGCAAAACGGCCCTATTCCACACATACCAAATTACGGCCGTAGCTCTTATCAATGGCTACTCTTGCGTAATATGCTTCTCCTCGACATGTTTTCCATCTACTCTTCCCTCTTACCGTCCTTCCTAAAATATATATATATATTTTTTAGATATTTTTTAGATATTAAATTTCATAAGCATACGATATATATCGTACTTTTAAGGAGAACTTTTGCACGCGACTCTTTCCCCATTAATCCCGACGAACTGTCAAAGACCGGAAAAGAGACATTTAAAAGTGTCGCATTGTTTACACAACTTTGATACCGGGAAAACGAGGAAAAGAAGGAGAAATAAATCCCAAGAACTCTGATTTTGTCGTAATTATCTTATCTTCTCCGGTGCAGATTGCCGGAAGTTGCAAGATATCGGCGGCGGCGGAAACCACCGGAGGTTTCCAAGTTGGCGGGAAACGCCCAGAGTGTCTGGGATAGCCGGTCGATAAACGCGACCACCGGTTACGTAAAGGGGAATAATAAAAGCGATGCGACGTGCAACAACGCCGGCCGGTCGGCGTGTTTGCCGAGATAAGATACAGAGGCCCTGCGGTCACGTGTCCGGCGTACTGTCAAACTCTTCTGTTATGTAAACTTTGCGCTCTTCTGGCGAGCCGCCATACGACATTGTGATATATGATGTCGAGTCGATTCCGCACCATCGGGGGGACTCCGATTTATTTTCGGGGCATGCCTTCTGATGTGTCGCGGCGACGTACACCGTTGTTTCCTCCTTTCCGTTACATTCGGGAAAAAGGGAAAAGTGAGTCGCAGACGTTTCCTTGTCGTCTCGTTTTTACGTAACGGATCTCGATCGGTACAGAAACGGCCACACGCGTTAAAAATAATTAAGTTTATACATACATGTATGTGAAAGAGAATGCGAAAACTTGTTTACTTGTTTACATATTTATAATTAACTTTTCTCGTATAAATTATTTCATCATCATCTGCGCTGTTAAGGATGTTTTGTATGTACAATCCCAGCAAAAAGTAGCTGAAAATCAGTATTGACGAATATCCACTTTTGGTGTATTTTGAGTATGAGAAATTGTGTGGAATATTATAATTTGATCTTACTTACAGTGCAGAGAGGTTTTTTTTAATATTTATTGCGTTTTTATTGAAATATTCCGAATTTTATTAATCGAAATGATTAACTTTTGGCAGAGAATTTCGTCTTGTGACAGATACATGGCTTATTTTATTGAATTATATTTAATATCTTTTTAACTAGTTAGTTAGTACTTGTATAATATTATTTAACCAAATATTTCGTCTGTATCTAAACTTTTGCAAATTTTAAACAAATTCTGAATATTATTTCCATGTGTTTTTGTCATTTGAATCGACGTGGTTATACGTTTCCCATAAGAACACATGTTAATTCGGTGCAAATTAAAATTCTTATTACTTGTGAACGCTTTAGTGAATCGATTTAAAAATTGTACTGAAGATTCTAAACATATGTAAGGACATTCTGTACAATTTTCATTAAATTCTCAATATTTTGAAAATAGATACAAAACATCTTTAATAATTGATATTATTAATAGCGTAACAATCCAATAATTTATACAAGGAGTTTATATTAATCGAATTATAAGAATCGATTTGTTATCACTATATTAAATTATAAAAATCTTCAATAATTTTGCTGGAATAGATTTATAAAAAATTCTTTCACGATATTATATAATGAAATAATATTTCATCTATTTCTAAAATTTGCGTCCATCATTTAATATTTAATATTTCATATTTAATATTTTCTGATATTTAACATCTTTAAATGTGTGTTTTTTTCTTTATATTTTATCAAAATTTTTTTGCATTTTATATAAAATAATTAGTTTTTATTCCTAATGCAACATTTTAATGATCTTATCTGTTATTTAATTAATTTATTATTGATTTGAAAGATAATATATATCTTAAAAGATAGCAAAATATCCCTTAATTTTTTATTTTTTTTAAACAAGAACTGCAGTAATACTTTTTCAAGCTTCCTTTTCTTAATAATATTTGTTTTATTTTATATATAAATTATTATTGGTTTCAAATTAATTAAACTTTAAATTAAATATTAATTTAAAGTTCAATTTATTAATTGTTTTTTATTCAGATGTTGTTAATATTTCTTGCAACTCAGTTTCAAAATAACCAAAGAATTCAAATAAACGACAATAATTCTCTACTCTGTATGTAACTATGTATACATTAATAATGTCAAATATTTCGCATTTCTCGCACGTGTGATAAAATATTCACCAATAGAAAACGAAGTATGCTTTATCACGAGAACGGTATATCGCAAAAGCGACGATTGTACATGCACGATAGAGTCAATCTGCTGTAACACACATATAGTCGTACATGTGACTACACAATACCGATATGAACATAACCACCCACACGCTGTCAACTATCTCATTTTCCACGGTTGAAATCGGAATGTATATAAATAGTCACGTTTATAGAAAGGATCTATGGAGTGCTCTACTGAGATGAAATGTGCCTATGATAAGCATGGACTCTGAAATAATTGTTGTACATGATATCAAAAAAATTCACTTATTAATATTTCATTTTTTCCGATATCGTTATCTCTTATTTAAAAAGTCCTTAATATCAATTGAAAAAAAGTTAATTAACTTTAAGGAAAATTTTAAAAAATTTTGAAAGGAAAATTTTAAAATTTTAATTTTCAAAGTTAAAATCATCCTTGCACATCAAGTTTAAAAATTGAATTTATACCTTGGGACGCTAAAGTAACAACAAACAGATGAGAAATGTAATCGATGTTCTGATATTAAATATTTTCAAATACAAAGAAGGCAAATCTTAATATCGAAGGCTAAATAAATTGCATTATTTACGCGACACTTGGATGGCACGAAAATACTACAAATGTCTGTATCGCGATCAGACCTCGCGTCGTAACGATGCAGCTCGGCCGAATCTATCTTCTCGTGGAGATCGGCCGACTGATTGCGTAACGATAGATTTATATAAATGGTTACGTTGACACCGCGCGCGCGGAGCCCCGGCCGCAGCCGTCTAGGCCATCATTACATTATTTAACGAGGAGCGCAACGCGTAAAGAGGTATGAAATTTGTTCTTTAAGCTCTTGTAGCGAGACGAGTTTGTATTTCAAATACCCTAAAACAACTAGGCAGACTGATGAAGGAATGAAAATCGTGAATTTGTCAACAATAATTTAACACAACGGTATTTATCTATATTATGTAACACATGAGACGTAATTTATATAAGCATTGCACATCTGTATAATGTTTTTATCCTCGCAAGTCTAAAGGCAAGGTCCAACGAAAAGAAATTTTATGTAACGAAGGTAAATCTTTGCAACTTTATCAATAACCATTAACGATGATATCAGAACACATGAAGTTTTTTTATCCAATTTATTTCCATATAAATAGCGAAAAAATTGGATTACGGGCCTCTAATTCTATAAAAAGAATACATATAGATTATGTAATACATGTAGCACAATTATGTAATATATACGAGTATTATATCACTAAATTGAGAAAACATAAAGTCTTACGTCAGGCAAATGCTAATTACTTGCATCACAGAAAAACAGCTCTAATTACTCATAATTGATTTGCTATATACAATTTATATCGTAAATTCGTGATAAAAAGACAAAAATATAAGCTCTTATTTTTACACATTTTTAAATATACTTAAATTAAATTTAACTCTTCAAAAATTAACACAATATTACAATTTATAAAAATATATAGTTCTATTTTTATATAAAAGAATAGATAAATAAATAAAAATTTTACTTTCTATCAATGAATAAAAACACACACAGACATTTAGCCTTTTTTATGCAAATATTTTTAAGACATGCAATTTTCCCGAATGTTATCGAAGCAAAAATAATGAAAACAATTGTTTTGTTTTTTTTAATATTAAAAAATCTCTCGTTTAATCAATCATGATTTTGGATAAGCTTGATCGAATTGAAAATTTATTTATTTTGTTTCGAAGAATTTTTTTCAGTTATGAGACTTTCGCCGGCACGATATGCGCGTGCGTGCGCGCAGGGTCGGTGTTTCTGTCAATTACATAATAAAAAGCGTTATATAAGGACTAACGCTACGCATATAATCGCAGGCAGCGCTCCGGCTTCTATTTGTCCCGACGAAATTGATCGGCCGATTCTGGATATTGAGCCATCGATACCGCGAGCTATGCATGCTATGTGTAACGATTTTCTGGACGCGCACCGATAATTAAGCGCGATTAATTGAGATTACTTGAAAGTCGGTAATTGGAAATACCACCAATATTGAAACTACAAAATAATTAGACGTTACAAAGTTATGCGATACCTATACAATTATGAGAAATAAAATTTCAATGATTCAAGAGCCATTTTGTCAATTATATATGCGCTCTTTCAATTATAATGGCTTATAGGTACGATAAAATTTTATTAACATCACATTTTTTTTAAATATTAAAAATATTAATATTTTTAATATATATATATATATATATATATATATATATATATTAATATTAAAATATTAAATACTTTTAATATTTTAATATTATTTTAGTATTTTGTAAAAATTATTTAAAAATAATTATATATATATTTAAATTAATTATATATTTCATCATTTAAAAATAATTATAATTATATTTATGCTAATTATATGTTTACTCCAAGGAAAGAAAAAAATTTAAAAGAAGTCTTAAATATATAATGTAGAATAAACCTAATTTAGATTCCAAACAAGTCGTATAAATATAAATATGATATCAAAAACTTATTGTAAATTTGTGTTATACATGAATATTCTACGTTTTACTTTATAATAATACGTCTATACATATACTCACTTGTATTGTTGTATTGCATTTCCTCGAAATATTATCGATGACGCTTTTGAATTCCATGAATATTTACATAACGTCATAATCATCAAATAACAACAAGTACTCTCTAATCTTGAATGCCGATTATATCTAAATGTTATCTATGCATACACATTGTTCTCCTACAATCTTTTAATATTTACTTTTACCAGGATTTCACATATTTTTCTAAGAATTTAGTTAATCAATAAATCGACAACGAGACAGAAAAATGTTTTCGAATCTCCTGCTTTTAGTCATACCATATAACTCAGTTAAATATTTTTCTTTCTCAACATTTTTAA